CTCTCTGGCTGGGGAATGGTCGGGTTCAAGAATATGAAATTTGGTCCGTTGAAACTGGCCGTTATCTTGTGCCCTCGGAATGTTAGGGCTAGAGGCACAGAGACTACGGTAGACTCTCTGTCCGAGTTATGTCGAGCCACTGTATGAACACCGAAAGACCCGCGACCGATTCAACCATGGTAAAAGTAAAGAGGTAGTTTAATCCGAAATACACTTAAATTTGAGAAAGTAAACAAGTCTAAATTCCTCGTCACTCATTATTTGCGATATTGTAAACACCGCGGGCATACAGCCGATCAACTTCATCAGATCACAGGGGTTCGAATCACTGTTTGGACAATAATTTTGGATTTTTCAGAAAATTCTCCCGCTACACTTACATAAAATAGTGTATTTCATGTAATGAGTGAAGCGGGAGAATTTTCTGAAAAATCCATTTCTTCACCGATTTCGTTCAAATTTGAAATATAAGTTACTCATAACATATGAAACCTATATACGGTTGCAAAAATCTAGATTTTCAATGTTTTAAATTATTGTCCAAACAGTGATTCGAACAACTGTGCATAAGATTCAGACAGGAAATAGCCACTTCGTGTACCGTAAATATTTCAAAATTGGCACTGACTTAAAACATTTAACGATATCTGATTAATGTCTAGCAAAAAATATTGACAGCTAATGATGAAACGTTTGATAGCTGTTCTATGTTTCACTTTCATCTCTGGAGAAACCAGTGAAACACTTCCAGCTTACTTATTCAGATGCACGTGTTTATTAATAAACCTCGTTATATATTCACCTGACAACTGTCACCTGTATACAAAAGTCGTATAGCGAGAGAGTGAGTCTAGTTCAATGTTTCATTGAATGGAATATTCGGTCAGATCCGTCGTATTTGCCTGAATTTGGAAGAAATCTAAAAGTGGCATAGTGGCACATGCCATACATAATATGGTGAATCATGGATTCGATCCCCTAACTGAGGGACACATGACGTGGTTAGGTACACAACATTGCACATCTAGATTCAGCGTTACAGACCACCATTAACACGGCGAGGGTAGGAGACATGGGTCTGTCTCTTTCTCTCAGTCACAACAGACTCGACTGGCGGTGTGACGTCATACCGGGCGATGATGACGTCATATCCTTTGAAACTGACCTTCACTTCTGCACGTGCACCTACTTTGTGTTGTTGCAATACAGCAATATATCCAGTCCATCAGTTAGAATCAGCTCAGAATGAGCAAATGATTGTACCAGTGAAAAGACGATGTCCTCCATATATACTGGACAAAATAAGTTTGGGATATTTGTATTTTTATGATTGATATTTTGTCAGTGTGTCAATGAATAAATAGATCAATATTCATAATTTCAAAATGTACATATATCCCTAACTATCTTTGTCCAGTATATGTCGCAACCATAAGTTCTCCAACGATAACTGCACCTCTAAGGCACAAGCAATGTGTCCGACACAGTTGCTGATAATAATTTTAAGTTAATCTGGATAGCTAAAGTTTCAACCTCTTTCTTAAAGCGCTAGGGCGGTTGTAACTGCCATTCTTCAGTGTAGACTTATCGTAGCTGTAGCGCTAATAAGATGGCTTGTGGAAAGGGTCCAGATTCGGTTACGTTCGCTCGCAATACAGCTGACAGCGGTGATACACAATATTCATTTAATCCCAAAATTAAAGATAGAACACTACATAGAAAAACCCTTTTACCATGGCGATGTGAAATGATCTTTTGTCGATTTAATGCTTGCTGCCGCACTCTGCAATACGTTGACAGCGTCCTGTAAGTGTTATGTTCGAGTCTGGACCAGATAAACCATCAGTTAATATTATGAGCAACAACCCATCCCGTCGTTGTGCGAGGTGAGACGCCATGCACCAGCTGTTCGGCGGTACTGACCACAGTTGCGTTTTACAAATGTACAGGTTCTGTCAATATATTCTTACTCGGAATTTCCATGAGCTTTAACGGTATAGACAGAGATTCTGAACCATTGTGGCATGTAGTAAAATGGTAAACAACTCGAAAACACATGCCATTCCAATAGAAATAACTTTAAGGCGTTTTGAATGAATGAAGGATCACCAGGTGCTTGTTTACAGAATCGCCTCTCGGTGCTACCTGCCACTCAGTATTGTTGCCAACTACACTCAGAGAGGCAATTCTGTTGGAAGGAATTCATGTTCTACGTGTTTAGGAATTGTTTTGGATTTGGATTTATTTATTAAGTAAACGTGGAAGCACGACATATAATCGCTTCAACAATTCTACATCAAAAGATTCAAACATTAGCACTAGTGTTTAGAAGATAAGTGAAGACAAATATTCTGTAAAATGACTGGGTTGTGTTTCTGATAGTTGTTGTGCTGCTTTAGAGTCAGAAATATAAACAAGGTATGATACTTTATGGATGACACATTAATTCTTCCATGAAGTATCATACCTTTCCTATTATTCATCAACTACCTAATTATATTATGTCAGTAAAACAGATTAGTCAGGGATATGCAGGCTGTACTACTCGAAAAAAGTTTAGTTACAAGAAACGCAAAAGAAACGCAAATTACTTGTGTTTGAAACATGCGCTTCAAATGCATTTATTTTAGGGGGGGAAAGTATCCCATGATTAAACCACGCATTCCAAGATGGTTTTGCCGTTGTTTTCGGTTATTCTTGACCATATCGCCCGAACGCGATCGTTAACATGCTTTTGGTGTGTTTTGCATGGTTTTTTCACATTTCACACAAAAAATGCGTGCATTTCCCTCCAGTTGAATCCTTTATAAGGCAGGTCATTCAAAAAACACCCCACACCACAAAATCGACTTGAAGAACGCTGAAAAACATGCCACGTCTAACGCAACAGCAACGAGGGATCGCCATTGGAATGTTGCTGACCGAATCAACAGCAACTGCGGTGGCCAGGCACTTCGGATGTCACGTGACATCAATCACCAGACTCTCCGCAAGGCATCGTCAAACCGGAAATGTTCCAGGCCAGCCACGCTCAGGACGCCCGAGGGTAACAACGCCAGCTCAAGATCGTCACATCCTGGTTACTTATCTGCGTAACCGACAACGACGAGCAACACAGACGGCTGCAGCCATTCAAGGGCAACACCGTAACATTGCTGCAGACACCGTTCGTCGTCGTCTGAGAGCAGATGTCGCCGCCCTTACGTCGGATCGACACTGACGTCACCGCCAACATTGTTCACAGTGGGCTCGACAACACCAGCGTTGGCGACGTCAACAGTGGCAACAAGTGTTGTTTTCTGATGAGTCGAGATTCAACATGTCACACGCCGATGGCCGATTCCGTGTATGGAGACGACGTAATGAGCGTTACGCCAACTGATGCGTCCTGGAGGCTGACCGCTGGGGAGGGGGGAAGCGTCATGGTGTGGGGCTGCTTCAGCTACCACCAGAGAACACGTTTGCACGCGTTTCGTCAACGTGTGCCTGCCGTAGTCTACAGAAATGAAGTTCTTCAAAACATCGTTGTACCGCTGTTCCAGGCCCAGCCTTTGAGTCAGCTCCAGGTTTTCCAGCAGGACAATGCTCGTCCTCACACAGCACGGGTCTCTATGGACTTCCTGAGAAGGAACAACATTGCTGTACCACCCTGGTCCTCTCTGTCACCGGTTATGGCACCGATCGAGCATGTGTGGGATGAAATTGGAAGACGGATACAGGCAGCTGGTCCACCTCTAAACCTTAGGGGTTTGGAAGCCGGATTGGTCAGAGAATGGAATCAAATGCCACAAGCCGTCTTCAAGACACTTCTTGACTCAATGAGACGACGCTGTACTGCGTGTATTGCAGCCAATGGGGGTCACACCTGCTACTGATGGAGACACTGTTTCATGACATTGTTTGTGTTTGGGGGTGGAGTGGTGACAAGTGCTTTTTCAATAAACATGAGTGTTGTTTTCACCAGAGATCACTACCCATTTCTTCAACGATTACTTGTCTGTTGTTTATTCATAATGTTACGATTATGTGTTAAATAAATTAACATTTAATGGCATTTGAAATTCAAGCTGCGTTTCTTTTGCGGTTCAGTATATTATGAAAGCTGTGCCAACACTCTAATTTTGACTTGTGTATAATTTTGCATTATATTGTATGTGGACCGAAATTGTACGATGAGGTGATGTGTACAAATATATATATATTATAGAACGAATTGAACTCTTGAAACATCCAAGGCACCAGAAAAGTTTTGAAAGGTTTTATGGTAGACAAATTGGGAAGTAGTCGATGCAATTTCCTATTTTGACTCTGCACCACATTTTCCCTGTTAATTAGGAGAACAATTGACTTGCCTTGGCGTGTGTATAAAGGGGTACTGCCTTTGGGGCAGGATACGCTAAGCTTTCCATCTTCACGGGTGTGGAATCCCTTGAGTGTTGATACCACTGCCAGGGAATGTCGTTACCACAGCCTTGCCAGAGTTGGTCTTCAACGATGTATACAAAAATATATACATTCTGTTCATGACCACTCGCCTGAAGCTACACAGACCACTACTTGAGTCCTGCCAGACTGGTGAACGTCCATCATTCCAAATAAATACTTCCGCTTTCAAAGACTGAAGAATGTCAGTAACTTCCTTCATGTGAAGGATAAATACAGGTATATTTAGTTGTTGTGAGACACACACGGCAGGTAAACATCCTACATGCAGGCGATCTGAGGTATCGCAGAGAGGGAACCCCCGTTTGATAGCTTTCAGCACGACATCAGCAGTCAACTATACCTGTATGGAGGTTTAATCTAACATTAATCATCCCAGTCACACATCTTAGCATTCCATCTTTCCTTCAGAGGTTCCAAGGCGTGAATATTTATGCCCATTTCGATGCACTAGGTATGATCTTATCAAAATGTATAGCAAAAACTATTATTTTAAAAATTATTTCATCGATTTGTATTCAGACACCTTTATACAGTGAATTTTGTTTTCATCACAGATTCCACTGGGCGTGTTTGGTTCTAAACAAAGAATTATAAGGGATTGTAAAGCAGGTGAGTGAGTGAGTGAATATGTGTAAAGATGTTTCATGTAAGCATCAAGTGGTCTGGTGAATTTACAATGACTGTGTAATCACTAATCGACAATACTAGAAGGCAAATGGAATTTGACTATATTCTTATCAATATTAAATTGCAAAAGATGAAGCATGTTCCTCTTGGACAAGATTTTGCATTCCAAAAAGTTTTTAAAATATTTTCGTTAAACACAAGAAGGGACCTTTTCATAGAAAGGAAAAGCCTGTCATAGTTAGCTGTAAAGTATGTGGGACATAAATAACTGAAAAGAAAGTCTTTCTATCTTTTAAATAATTGTTTACAACACATTTGGTCTCCATGTATAAATCCTTGTTTTTTCTGCAACATTTCCACAGAAAACACTATGGAGAGCCTGGATTACGTCCCTTGGGTTGACGAGGGAAGACAACTCTGTGTGTTCGAGAACTACAACTTGTATCTCAAGAAGTGCGCTCGCCGTTACGGCAAAACAGCTGTGACGTCATGGCCGAGAGAGAACCCCAACCTTAGCCCAAAGTCCTTCAATATTCCTGGGGCCAACTTCGGAGGCTGAAATATGACGGAAGCACACAGTTTCTGTAAACCTGGACGAATAAAACAGAATTCTCTTCCGAATTTCGAGGTCTTCAAATAAAAGAGACCTTTCACACCGATGATTCTGCAGATCATACACCGATGAGCAACAGAAGCTATGACTCACAGTTGATTGTATCGTATGTTTGATTTCCATTGACAGTTTAGTGATATTACCTATACTACCCATCAAATGTTTAGACCCACAAGCGTAAATGTAGCCACTTACTTCAGTCAACTGTTCTAAACTAGATTTTGCAAAATTTTCCATACTGTTTAAAGGTGCTGTCTACACATGAACTGATGTATTGTAAGACAAATGCGTAACGTTGAAAGGTTTATTGTCATGAGTTCAATAAATGATGAAACTCAGTGAAAATTGGCGAATTCTTAACAATTCTTTACACCAAAACGCAGCTGTTCACATGCACGATATTTACACATGCTTGACAGCAATTTGATGCATTATTCTCGTGCGATTCATCTGCTTACGGTTTGCAGTTGGTTCCCCCAAGTTAGTGGAGAAATCAATCTTTGATGTAACCATATATATATATATATAGGGAATACATGAAATCTCTGGGGGTCACAGGGATTTCACGAAATCACTGACTCTTAGGGATTACGTGAAATCCCTGGTTTCACACATTCCCTGTAACATACATAACATATAGTGAGTGTTTTAAGTGAGTCTAAACTTTTGATGGGTAGTATATATAGAATTGAACTGTACTAGTGCGTAGGATTTCAAAGAAAACTTCGACGTGACTTTGTTATGATGTAATTAAATCAAATACTGTAATTAGATTTGAAAAAAAAATAATATCTATTTTTCCCCACAAAATACACAATGTGTGCCTTGACGCATGTATCGATTGGAAAAGTTTGTTTGTTTGTTTGTTGTGCAGCTATATAGCGACGGTTTGTAAATAAATGTGTCTTGACCAGACAATCCAGTGATCACCAGCATGGGCATGGGGATACGATGACATGTCAACCAAATCAGCGAGCCTGACCACCCGTTTGTCTGGTTAGTGGCCTCTTACGACAAGCCTGGGTTCCTGAAGACCTGGACCTTGCAGCAGAGAACAACAAAGAAAACAGCAAAGAACATCAAATAGATTGAATCAGGTGGTACTGTCACAAAGTAAGATACCTCGATCAATGAAAGGCGTTTTTACTCTGTAATATATGATAGCGTATTACTAAATGAAATAATTTAAAGAACGAAGAATGTTAATGCCAAGCGCTTAGGCCTCTTGTGAAGTTTTACTTGTCCTCGACCTGCAACCTCCATCCAAGCACTGACCCAGGAAGGAAGCACTTGTATGAGTAGTCGGTTAAGTACCTCTGTGGCCTATGAGATTTTAATTGGTCTAGATGAAATTTCCAGCTGTGACCTATGGTCGTTTTGTGTGTCCTTGAGTGGCACCTGTGTGCAATAAGCTATGACTGATAAGGTGTTAGGTCATTATAATTATTACCTCAACAATTCTACATCAAAGGATTCAAACATAAGCGCTAGTTTTTTCCAAGATAAAGGAAGAAACATATCTGTAAAATGATCGTGACTGGAATAGACAAGTAAGTGACCAACAGCATGAACATAGATCTACTCTATTGGGATACGATGACACCACCCCATCCCATGGCCTTTTACGACAAGCATGGGATGCAGTAGACCAATTCGAACCAGGATCTTGTGAAACTTGTGGAATCCCTTGAGTGTTGTTCCCACTGTCAGGGAATGTCGTTACCTCCAGCCTTGCCAGAGTTGGTCTTCAACGATGTATACAAACATAAATGAACTGACCGGCAAAAGAAAGTATACCAAAATACCTCAATTTTTAAAGAAATATTTTTGTAGCTAAATTATACACTGAAACATGTCGCCCCAACGTAGCAATTTGTTACCTGCAGTGAAATTCACGTGCACGTCGTGAATAAAATGTCGAAGTGGTAAATTGTATAAACCATGATTTTGGGCTTCTGTCAGAGTTCCACATGTACTAAGGGTATAAAGGTAGTGTGCGGACAGGTTACACATGCAGTTTGAAAAAGACCACCACACTTATGCCACGACTATCAGCAGTTGAACGTGAGAGGGCTATATAGGTATGCTCCAGTTGGGGTCGACACACGCCAACGTTGCAAGAACCTTCGGCTGCACCCGTGTAGCCGTCTCTAGACTGCTGCGACGTTACAGGCAGACGGGCCAGACACAGGACAGACCAAGAAGTGGGAGACCGCGAGTAGCAACGCCAGCTGAAGACCGGCATTTGAGGACGTTACACCTGAGAAACTGTTTTCTGACGGCAACGTCATCAGCGGCGAATTCCCTTGATCACCGTGTCAGTCGATACACGGTGGCTGGATGTCTTGGGGCACTAGGTATCAGAGCCTACAGACCCTTCAAAGGACAGGTGTTGACCCTTGAACACAGACGTCACAGATTGCGCTGGGCCGAGTTGTTGGTCATTGGCAGCGACGAGAGGAACAACGTGAACGTTCTACAGTGGCCAGCACGTTCTCCAGACATGTCCCCGATCGAGCACATGTGGGATGCACTAGAAAGACGAGTGCGGAAACGCCCTAACCCACCAGAGAACACTCTCCTACCCAGAGTTCCATGCGGCCAGCCGGCATAGTACCTCTGCCACAGGCCAGAAAGATGTGACGATTCGTCACATCTTGCACAGTCCATTCAATATTCTTAGCACTTTTACTTTTGACGACTCCACACATCAAATTAAACATCTTTGTTAGTATTGTTTAGTTTCACTGAGAAAATATCCTAAAACATGTAACACTATTTCCACGTGCTATCATCGAAGCCTTTTTGTGAGCAAACGATGCAGCCCCTTAATTATATCAATATGTATTGTCGTAAACCTTAAACTCACTGTCGCAGTTGTAGAAGATTATTTATGTAACAATGTAAAATATCATGGAGACCGCGCCGAATTGGGTGCGTTGAGCAAGTACCTTCTTGCTTACGAATATGCGCGTTTGTATACCAACAAGAGAAAAGTCCGGTCACGTGATATGCAAATTAGCCGGTGGCAGTGATGTTATGCTATGTCATCGCTGCGCCGGAATGTGACCACAGAATAGACAGCAACTTGCACAAGCCCTCCAGGACGAATGGCTTCGCATACCACGTGAGTTGTCCGACGTCTTCGGCTAGAAGGATGCTGCGTGCCTGTATTGATGCAAGCGGTTGACATACATGATACTGAAGTGATGGTAGTGAACATGTATTGTATGTAACTCAGTACCCGCTTATCCTCCATGTGATTGAACACTGGTTTTTCAGGACCCTCAGTGAACTTGCGCATGTCTGACGCCACGTGTTTCTGTAGTATGCGTGCGATATGTAGCTCAGGTTGAGTACAGATGTTGTTAACACCACTGCATCAATGATAATGACCTCTTGTATACCTTTTTTTTGCCGGTCAGTTTACATTCTGTTCATGACCGCTCGCCTGAAGCTACACAGACCACTACTTGAGTCCTGCCAGACTGGTGAACGTCCATTATCACAAAGAAATACTTCTGCTTTCGAAGACTGAAGAATGTCATTAATTTCCTTCTTGTGAAGGATAAATATCAACACAGGTATATTTATTTGTTTTAAGGCACACACGGCAGGTAAACATCCTACATGCAGGCGATCTGAGGTATCGTAGAGAGGGAAGCCCCCGTTTGATAGCTTTCAGCACGACATCAGCAGTAAACTTTACCTGTATGGCGGTTTAATCTAACATTAATCATCCCAGTCGCCCATCTTAGTTTCCATCGTTCTTTCAAAGATTCCAAGGTGTGAATATTTATGCCCATTTCGATACACTACGTATAAACACAATTAATAGTTAAAAATATTTTAGGTAATTTTATCGTTAACTTTTAGTATTCAGATACCTTTATACGGTGAACTTGTGTTTCATTGCAGATTTCACTGGGCGTGTCTGGTTCTGAACAAAGAGCTATAAGGGATCGTGAAGCAGGTGAGTGAGTGAGTGAATGTGTCTAAAGCTGTTTCATGTAAGTGGCAAGTGGCCTGATTAAGTTACAATTGCATTGTATTCGGTACTAATCGCTAATTACTATTAACTAAGTTCTCACTTAACACATGAAGGAGTATGCCGCCCTTGTCTATTTACAGTTTGCTGTGAAGTCTTTTTGGCATATGTGTAACTGAAAAGAAAGTCTTTCTATCTTTTAAACAATATTATTGTTTATAACATATTTGATCTACATGTATAAATTCGGGTGCTTCTGCGCATTTTCCACAGAAAACACGATGGGGAGCGTGAATTACGTCCCTTGGGTTGACGAGGGAAGACAACTCTGTGTGTTCGAGAACTACAACTTGTCTCTCAGGAAGTGCGCTCGCCGTTACGGCGAAACCGCCGTGACGTCATGGCCGAGGGAGAACCCCAATCTTAGCACAGGGCCATTTAATATTCCCGGTGCCAACTTCGGAGGCTGAAATATGACGGAAACCCTACAGACACATCCTCCTCACCCTACAGACAGACACATCCACCTTACCCTACAGACAGGCATATCAGCCTTACCCTACAGACAGACACATCAATTTCACCCTACTTGCAGAAGCATCCACCTCACCTTACAGATAGACGCATCCACACCCACAGACAGACACATCCACCTCACCGTAAAGACAGACACATCCATCTCACCCTACAGACAGACGCATCCACCTCACCCTACAACCAGACGCATCAGCCTCAACCTACAGACAGGCACATCCAGCTCACCCTACAGACAGACACATCCACCTCACCCCGCATGCAGACACATCCATTTCACACTGCAGACAGACGCATCCACACCCCACAGACAGACACATCCACCTCACCCTACAGACAGACGCATCCACCTCACCCTACAGACACATCTACCTCACCCTACAGACAGACGCATCCACCTCACCCTATAGGCAGACGCATCCATCTCACCCTACAGACACATCAGCCTCAACCTACAGACAGACACATCCACCTCACCCTA